AATTTAAAAACAAATCATTACTTTCTTTCCGAAATTTAAAATCTGGGGATAAAGTCAGAATTAAAATTTCGGAAAAAAGGTAACGATTTGTTTTTAAATAATGACTTATTTTAAACGAGATGTCCGTCACAGAAAGCTTACTGGTCTCGTTTGATGGGGAGAAAACGTTTCGGTTAAAAGGTGAGAGCCGTCACGGCCACGTCAAGCTTCACATAAGAAAATGACAGAGAAGGGGTATCAAAGGCTAGGCGTCTATCAAATTCTACAGCGAGAGAGGCGGAAGCGTATCAGCTGAGGTGGAAAATGACAATATGGAAGACGAGGTTCCACTCCTACTGACATAGAATGTTCAGAGATAAATAGTTGCAATGAAACAATGTTCTAAATCCTCAGTCACGACAAGAAGCTGAAATAGATAGATAGATAGATAGATAGATAGATAGATAGATGACGAGGCAGAGATAGATAGATAGATAGATAGATAGATAGATAGATAGATAGATGATAGATAGATAGCAATGGTGTGACAAGTAGATGGATAGATAGATAGATAGATGGATAGATGGATAGATGACGAGGCAGATAGATAGATAGATGGATAGATAGATAGATAGATAGATAGATAGATAGATAGATAGATAGATAGATAGCAATGGTGTAACAAGTAGATAGATAGATAGATAGATAGATAGATAGATAGATGACGAGGCAGAGATAGATAGATAGATAGATAGATAGATAGATAGATAGATAGATAGATAGATAGATAGATAGATAGCAATGGTGTGACAAGTAGATAGATAGATAGATAGATAGATAGATAGATAGATAGATAGATAGCAATGGTGTGACAAGTAGATAGATAGATAGATAGATAGATAGATAGATAGATAGATAGATAGATAGGTTGGTTGGTTGAAAAGACTATTACATAAATGAATTCATATTTAATAATTATATGTTCACAAACTGTAATAATTCACTAATTTTGTTCTTTAGTTGAGTAAAAGATCTTACAACCAAATAAAGAGCTTGTAATTAAAACTGAAAATAATATGATTCTTTCATGTTTTATATGATCAAAAGGATTCATGCCTCGGCATGATTGGCAGTTGCCCATGCAAAACGTCTCCCCTACGCCATCAATGTTGTTCAGGGAACAGCAGAGATCAATAAAGTTTGGTACCGGCCTCGTCGCAGAAAAAGAAAAACTCTAAATTCACAGATAGATAGATAGATAGATAGATAGATGGTACATATACCTTACAGATTCAGCACATTCTTACAGCAATTGTTCTTGTGAAATGCTTTATTAAAAAGAACAGACATGTTATATCTATTACTTTTATTGATCATTTTTTCTAGTATGCGAATAACGTTTCACAGATGCCTCTGTTGCTGATGTATAAAATAACTAAAATTCATATTGCGCCCAACTGTTCGACTCATATGTAACATCGTCAGGTGTGTGACTAAGAAAAGAACTGAAAAGAAAAAAAACATATATCTAAAGCAGAGCATTGTTTTTAAATTTTCGTTCTCTTTTTATTTGAAAACTAAATCCAATGCCGTAGGACGCAGTAAGTCATATGTCAGCAACGTTTAATGGCTATGTGTGATTGCGTGTAATATTTTTCATATGCATTTAAGAATACTAGCTTTGAAACTGCTGGTAACTTTTATAAGTAAACACGGAACATTTACTTATCGTGATGGGGGAGACTGCTTTCCTTGAACGGTTATTGGAATTGTCGCCAGTTGGTGTTGACCTCAGTGTCCACATTTATATTTTATATTTACATACAGTCTATCTCTGATATTGAGAACTTTTACCCATAAATATAATGTGTATTTGGGCAGCAAATTTTATATTGGGAGTACAAAGAATTCGTTTAAAACTAGGTGGTACCAACATATATTATCTTTCTCCTATAATGCGTACAGAAATAGGACGTCCCTTCTAAATATTTTTGGAACTTAAAAGAAGTTAATAAAACTCCTACAGTGAAATGGAAAATATCAAAAAAAGAAAACTAGAACTAAAATTTTTAAATGAACCTTGCTTCTTATTTTACATGAAAACTTACAAATAATCAAATTTGTTGACAAAAATTACTGTTAAATCAAAGGAGTGAATTAAGGTCTTTTTTTAGTTTTTTTACAACCTTTCATCTGTTCATACAGATATTATAAGGTATGGAAATAGATTGTTTTTATTTTTTACTTCTCGGTAATAACAGGACAACGAAAATATGGATGTATTAGAGCGTGCCTATGAAATTCTATGAAAGAATACTCCTATCTATTTCTATACCTGATGATATCTCTATACACTGATGGAAGCTTGTAAAAAAATTTAAAAAAGACCTTATGCAACTGGAATTTATAAACAGGGATCATAATATTCATCTACAGGTTCGGGGTTAATGTACTTTATTAAATTTGTTTGCGAAGATGTATTCTCGCCATTTATATCATTAATTTCTATATCTGTTTTTTTTTTTTTTGTATGAATGATTCATGTACTGTAAATTGAACTGCACCTCAAACTTGATATATATATATATATATATATATATATATATATATATATATATATATATATATATATAATTAATTATTTTAAGACATTTTTTATGTTTATACATTCTTTTTACAGAGACAAATATATAAATAAATGCTCTGTATCTCATGTATCTATAAAAAGAATGTATAAACATAAAAATGTCTTAAAATAATTGTCGGACTTTGTCCATTTCATAATGTGTGACATCATTTGTTTACATCTGGATACGCCATGAGCAGATATGAATGTACGTGAGAGAATCATGGAGGATTGTTGTTTAAAGACAGTAAAATCGACCTTGCTAACCGAACACTCCTCTATGGCTCAATCAGTTAAAAGCACGTCAGGCTATATGGTGGTTCCATATAGGACAGAGGTTCGATTCCTGTCGGAGGACGAATATTTTCTATGAAAATTTCTCGGACATTCAGGCCGTTAAATATTGTTTAATATTGTTTATTATAAACAGAGCATTTACTTAAATATTTGTATCTATAAAAAGAATGTATAAACATAAAAATGTCTTTATATATATATATATATATATATATATATATATATATATATATATATATAAAGAGCCAGAATCTATCTAACAAGGTTTCACCTACCAGATCATGAGAATTATCCTAGGTAGATAGGTTCTGGCTCTTTAGGTATTTTAATTTTGCTCTGCTTAGTGTATTGAGCACTTTTACATTCAACTTAGGTAACTCTGTCAGTGTTTTTTCTTTTGGCTAGACATTGTGGTTCTCGTTAATTTTTTTCAAGCAGTACGGATGTTTTTAGTCATTACTTTTATTACTGAATTTTTTTCCCCAATATCAGTTTGTCTAATACATTTTTGATTTATAAATTTTATTATTTGTTTTTTTTCCGTTTTTTTTTTGTCCTTTTTTTTTTTTTTTTTTTTTTTACACCGACAGAATTATAGTTTTCAAATATAATAGGGGTAGAATCTATGACTGATGTCAAATTAGTCGAGTTTTGATCCGGCTTGAAGCAATCGGATGTCTAGCCACACTGATGAGCTGTATATATATATATATATATATATATATATATATATATATATATATTATATATATTGCCTTTTTTGTTGAAATGACACAATGAATAATTTTTGTAATTTTGAAAAAATTCTCGTGTACTTTTTTAACGCTAAGTATGTTGGAAGATTGTGGTTTCATTGTGAAAAACGTTTTGTGCTAATTTTTCGCTATTTTCAATTTTTTTTTTTTTAATACTCCCAGTAAGCATTCTTTTGCTGCTCTGTTGAGTGAGTGTTGTAGTAATTTAATTCTTAGTGGGTTTTTTTTCTAATAATTACATGTTAAACGCAATCATCAGGCTACATGCATTGTGTTTTTTGTTTGTTTTGTTTTTTTGTTTTTTGTTTTTTTTTTTCTCGATTCTGGGCGATAACTATATATCTCTAAATAAGCAAAAACATTAAAATAAATTAATCCAAATAAAAAATTAAGTGAATAATAAACAAATTAACAAACAACTCCCGCCAAAATAACCATTAGAATAGATTAACTAAAAGTATAGATTACCCACAATGCACTATTGACCCGTATATATAAATAGTCGAGAAAAAACACACTTGATGAGTTAGCCTCTGAGTGTTGACTTCAATGTTCACTTTTATATTCAAATACGCTCTGTCTCTGATATTGAGCACTTTATCCCATAAATATAACATAACTTAAAACTATATTTCTTCATATGTGTGTGTGTGTGTGTGTGTGTGTGTGTACATGAAAGAGAGACAGGTGTGAGTGGGGGGAATATAAGCTCTACTTCCCAAAATAAAACCCCATCAGTTATAGTGTTATAATTTTCTTTGTCAACTTGAACGACGCTGGTGTGAAAAGGTTTGGCAGTTGGTAAAACCATCAGGTTGTATCGTTTTCGGATCCATCAACTGTTTCGGATTTTTATTTGATTTATTTTTTATTTTTTCATCACAGGCTACGAATAAGAAAACAAAGGTGACTGGGTAAAGGCGTCGACATGAAAATTTGTCGTTGTTCATCCTTCAGTTCTATTTGTTCGGCCTGTGAAAAGCGCCTGTGAGAATTTTTCTCGAAATCAAATATTGGCGCGCAAACAAAAAGAACTTATTTTCTCCTGAGTGCAAATAAAGAAACATTTCCGAACATAATTTCATACAAAATACGTCTTGACTATAATTACATTCAATTCCGCTGTCTTTACAAGGCTTCAAAATCGACTGCAGAAGCCATGGGCAGATATGGTCAAGGAACTCACATTTTGCCTTAGGTTGCGAAATGTTCACTTCTCTGGGTCTTGATGAGGCCAGATGCTGTAAAAAGGATCAAAGCAAAACACTAATATAATTGTAATATGACATTAGCACTTAAAGATAAGTAGACGAATTACTATCTATTTTTATGAAATGAAATAGTTATGAATTGAGATAGATAGATAGATAGATAGATAGATAGATAGATAGATAGATAGATACGAACAGAATGGAAAAAAAGAAATGAAGAAAGAAAGAATTATAAATGATAGACAGACAGATATGGACAGACTGAGATAGATAGATAGATAGATAGATAGATAGATAGATAGATAGATACGAATGAATGAAAAGAATGAAAAGAAATGAAGAAAATGAAAGAATCATGAATGATGATAGATAGATAGATAGATAGATAGATAGATATGGACAGACTAAGATAGATAGATAGATAGATAGATAGATAGATAGATAAGATAGATAGATAAAGAACGAGGAAAGATAGATAGATGAGATAGATAGATAGATAGATAGATAGATAGATACGAACATAAGGGAAAAGCGAAGTAGAAAGAAACAGAAATAGATAGAGAGAGAGAGAGAGAGAGAGAGAGAGAGAGAGAATGAAACAGTAAAACTGAATGACAAATATGAACGAATGATATATCAGGTTGCAGCCAGAGAAAGAATTGTCAAGGAGCCAGAATCTAAAGAAAGGAAAAAAAATCTGTCTTTAATCAGAGAAGCCTTCTGACCTCATCTTGTCTTGTCCAAGCATCCAAGTCCATGTCTTCTCATTCTTTCCCTTATGCTGATTTCGTAAACACACTTCTGAAGCCACCAAAATAATCTGACGCCTTCTCTTTTATCTTTCTCTTACCTTATTTACTTTGAGTAAAAACTTCTCCCTTCAATAAATTCCATTCGTGTATTTCATTTTCACCTCTTATATATATATATATATATATATATATATATATATATATATATATATATATATATATATATATTAGCAGCATGGCCCGGAGTTGCCCGTGCTTGATTCAAAAATCATACGACTCATACAGCAATCGCTCTCACTTGACTTAAAATATTTTTTCCCTTCCTTGCCTTTAAAGAAGTGGCCTTTGCCGTGCTGATGTTGCTACATGCCTTACTTCTTGCCTATCTCACACTGCAAATTTTTTCTAATCTCTATACTAAACATTAAATCTGTTACGAAAAAAGAACTAAATAAAATGAACACAAAACGATCAGCTTTAAAAAAAGGACTCGTAACTGGAAAAACCGAATGAAAAAAGAATGTTAACAACAAATAATTTTTCACAACCAACCCAGTTCTGCCGAATCAGAATCAACGTTGAGTTTAAGCAAGCGAATGAGCCAATTGGAGTAAAGTGCCATGCAGAATTAAATTTTTCCCACTTGTGACGAATGCAGCTATCGATTTTTTTTGCATGCTAGCATGCTAGTTAACATTCGTGTCAGTCAGCTGTTGGCTCTCACGCTGGCCAATAGAATATTCCTGCCTATTCGTGGCAGCCAGCTATTGCCTCTCACTCTGGCCAATAAAAAATGGCCTCAAACTACATGAAAACTGCCGTAGAAGCATTAAAAAAATCGATTATTTCCACTATCGATGGGAGTTGGAAAATGCAAAGTCAGTCTTGGCCTTTTCGATAACTTGGAGCATGTGGATGTAAATTTTGGTGCAAATCCGTCGTAAATTGCGACCGTGCATTCGTTACACACACACACACACACACACACACACACACACATCATGCCTTTTATATATATATATATATATATATATATATCTGAGATGGAACGAATACATTGAGTCAATAGCTTCGTCCACCGCTAGGAAAGTTGGCTCCCAGGAAATTTTTCTCGCCGGATTCGATCCTTCATATCTACAAATCAACCATTCGCCCTTGCATGGAGTATTGCTGCCATATATGGCTTGGAGCTCCTTCGAATTGTTTCAAGGTCCTTGATAAAATCTAAAGACGGATATGCAATGTAATTGGCCCTGATCTGGCATCTCGTCTGCAGTCGCTCTCTCACAGACGTGCCATTGCCTCCCTCTGTCTTTTTTTACAAATACTTTCACGGTAACTGCTCCGATGAGCTGCTTTCGCTGGTTCCCAAACTTCATGAATTTAAGCGTTCAACTAGGCTGGCATCCCGCTCTCACCCTTTCACTGTTAAATGTAGCCGTCTCTTCTACTCCAATAGCTCCATGTCTCACACTTCTCACCTGTGGAACTCCCTCCCTCATTTTTTGCCTTGAAAAAGTCCACATTGGTCGAAACGAGTCGGCTACCATTACAGTTTTTCTATTGTCTTTTACATTTATAAATATATATATATGTGTGTGTGTGTGTGTGTGTGTGCGTGTGTGTTGTGTGGTGGAGATCTACAATGGGTTGATAGTAAAAGTATGTTCTGAAAAATAATCAGAACTTTTATCAAACCTGAAGACGGAACACTTTTGCAGTATATAACAGTATTCCCTTTTTTATATAAGAAAATATGAGAGACTTTAATATATTCAATAAAGTACAGTGCCTTAAAAATGCGTACAGATGTGAAAAACGAAATGGTTGAAATAGCTACAGATGAGGAGACGAAAAATAATAATTTTAAAGCAATTATTTATTTAATCCTTAATTATGTTTCTTTTTGTCTTGCAATATTCATAAAGAATATTCCTTTGTCTTCATGCGCTTAACGTCTTGTTTTTACAATGTAGGCAGGTCAATATTGAACAGTGAGAGCAGTTTCACCCATTACCTTCCATTAATACAACCATTGAAGTCTTCCGAATAGATTCATCTACATGTTGTCACTAACAAGAATTATTTCAACCCGTGATATAGATGTCATACACTTCTCAGCGACGTTACACCCTGGGATGGTCTCCTCGGACGATACAAATTACATCCTTGACTAATCGAAACTGGTGAAACCCAAACGCGGATCTCCCTGTTCAGAAAGCTAACTCACTAAAAATACGCCCACATACACAGTTATTATAATTCTAAATTATTACCTATTATTATAAATTAGCGGGGATACCCGGTGTTGCTCGGAAGATCTCTGAATAAAGTTTATTATTGAAAAATTATAGATATTTTTCAGCCATTTATCTATACATATATAAAGGTCAATTGCCTCTGTGTGTGTGTCTGTGTGGCCAAAACTAACAAATTACAATAAATTACGACAAAGTAAATATATATCCAGACTCATTATTGCCCAAGACAGCTTTTTGTAAAACAAAATATCGTTGTATGATTTGTATTTATGAAGATATTTTAAAATTAAAATGAATTAGAATGCATTCGAAATTCTCAGAATTAAAAAGTAAAAACGAACGGTAATAATTCTTCTTCCAGATTATGGTTACCGAAACGCTGTACGCGTATTTTTAAAATTTCTATCCTCTTGAATTTATTTTCACATCTATAGTAAATAAAAGCATAACTTCAAAAAAATGAATATTAAAACAACAAAGTAAATTTAAAAGATGAAGAATATTAAATAAAAGGGAAGTTACGCCACGGTGCTTGAAAAGTGACTGAAGCCGAGATGCCAGGTCAGGACGATTAACTTTGCAGATTCATTGTATTTTATAAAGAATCTCTAAATACATAGCAGGAGCGCCTGACGCGGCAGTAATATTCAAAGCATGGACAAATTGTAGACTTATAAGTATGTAAGATTATAGTGATTTCGTAGTTGTAAGTTCAATACCTGAACTGGGTTGGTCAGTTTGTATATAGACTCAGTAGAAAGGAGGCGATCAATAACCAAGCAATCCTGAATAAGAATGAGATGTGATATCAATAGATATTGTTATGGGGACGCGAACACGCTAGCACTTTAGACTAAAGGGTTCATTCCGACATTCGTTAAATGTTGCTTGCTCCGACAAGCACCTGATGAAGGCTGAGGGACAGGACGGTTGAAACGTTGTGATAACAACAACTAAAATAAGGTGAACAGCTTAACTTAGTATGTATTAAAAAACTGTTTTTTGTTGTTGTTATTTTGCCAGCTTGCAATATATACAGAGAAGAGCGCTAAATCAAATGCTGATTTTCAAGGTAGACAACCCTTAATTCAAAATTGGCGCCCCAATGTTTTTATACAAAGATTATTCTGTAGTTTGCTTTTTGAATTATTCAGCTAAGCTGTTGCAAACATCGAAAACTGTGTTAGAATAGTTAAGGAAAAATGCGAGAGGACATGTAAGCTGTGGGACTTCGCTGTGTAGTAAGATTTCGTGAATCCTTATCCTTCCATGCCATTCTGTTTGTAGATGAATCCTAAACAGCAAATATGTTTTGAATCTCTGGCTGTCCATTCCAGATTTGAAATTATTTATTTTCTTCCATCATCTTCCCTTAAGACATTCACTTGTCAGTCAACAAACACTTCGCCTAAGAATCGAGATTTGCCAAACCTTAAAAGTTTCAGGACTTTTTTCTAATCCCTTTCTGATTTGTGCCCATGTATAAAACTGTCAATAAGAGAAGAAAACCTGTCGATTTTAACGTTTCTTTTCCGATATTTTTGTCTGCTACTTTGTCTTCTAAAGTAAACACTGCGTGACAGGTGAGGAATGTACAAACCACGTGAGCAATAGGCGAGAAAATGTCAGAAATCTCTCAACCCGGCCATAAACGGATTCAAAAATAAATTCTATAAAATAAATTTCATAAGATTTTGATAAGAAGGTTGGGTCTGCAACGCTCCATCTTTTATAAGCAATAACCTCACCTCAACTATTTGATAGAGTGAACTTTTTCGGCCATTTTGATTTTCTACTCAAGACATTGGATCCAACTGAATTCTAAATTGTTACTAAAAGATTTCTTTCTTTGATATTTTCTGTTACTCTTAGACGTTTCAACCAGATGATGGTGATCATATCTCTTCTCCTACCCGCAGTTAAAAACACAACACTTTCCTTACATGAGCGGTTCCAAAGAATGCTGCCAACTGAACACTCGCAATGACTTCAGGTATTCCTAAGGTGTCTTGATGGGTAGAGATTCCTGGTAATAATCCAGAGTGCTCCAAGCCCAAAACAACTTGGGCTGCTGCTTGCAATATTTCTGATTTGCCCTTCCAAGTTTTTGTACCTCTACATTTTCATCTGTACCGACTTCACAATGTTCGTATCCCAAGGTACCGTGGCGACTATCAGGATCAATTCATGTCTATTCTTGTGTGATATCAGGGAGATTGCTCTCCAAAGGGAGATTGCTCTCCAAAGGGAGATTGCTCTCCAAACGCTTGTCACATAAGATTATTATTATATATTTGGGATCACTGACTTAAAAAGTGCAGGAGAGTAACCTATGCACATTTGAGATGTTTCGTTTAGATGGTGGTGGTTTTGTGAATGTTATGGGCATTTCCGAACAAAGTAATCTTTTGTAGCCTTGAGATGCTGATGTGTCCAAGAATTTTACTTACGTTATTTACAATAGCCTTCCTTGTTACAGTGATCACCTCGCTAATTCGCGGTTCTATTATCGCGGATTCACGACTTCGCAGATTTTTAAAATATATATATATATAGAAAATATATCGCGGAGTTTCTGAAAAATTCTAGAAAAATCGCGATATATGAACACCTAAAATTTTTCATTAAACCCATCAAAATATTAATAATAAATATTATTTCCTGGTCTAGGAACAACAAAACAAGCGTAAAATGGCAATAGAAAAGGCACGTCGAATTCTACTTCAATTTCTATC